CACAGTTCTACTCTGACACACACGGGGCACCATGAGCGGGATCTACTTATGAAAATTCATCCACTGAGAACCCTGTGGGCACAGTTCTACTCTGACACACACGGGGCACCATGAGTGGGATCTACTTATGAAAAACCATCCACTGAGAACCCTGTGGGGCACAGTTCTACTCTGACACACATGGAGGCACCATGAGTGGGATCTACTTATGAAAAATCACCCACAGAGAACCCTGTGTGGCGCAGTTCTACTCTGACACACATGGAGGCACCATGAGTGGGATCTACTTATGAAAAATCACCCACTGAGAACCCTGTGGGGCACAGTTCTACTCTGACACACCTGGGGACATCCTGAGTTAGAGTCAAAGAAATGGCAGTGTGTTTGGTCTGGTGGTAACTCCTCATGGACTGAAAACAACAGGCAGTATGTATACCAACTCTGCTGCCCCCAGGATTAACTCTCAGATTCCCCCCAGATCTACTGTCTAACACTCAGGCCTCTCAGGTGTGCAGGTGGACTTGGACTCGAAGGGAGTTAGAGGCACAGCAGTAGTTTTTATATTTAAGGTACAGATGAATCCACGGATGCTGAACTGTGTTATTCCTCTAGAAAACGCCAACCCACTCTAATGGTGTGGTCTGCAACTCCAAAACCACAGCATGCTTGGTTTCCTTTCTTCCATTCTGAGTGACATAGTGCTGAACGCAGGCTACATGCTTGGTTCAATGTTGGAATGAAGAAAGCTACAAGACGCCTCCTCAGCACTGAGGCAAACACATCCCTTGTCCCCCCAAAAAACTTTGTCTTTCTAAACCCTCGCAATCACAAATAGCTCATGTTTCTCAACCACACACAAGTCTCAGTCCAATCAATTCTTGGCATGTCGGTCCACCAAGAAGATGACATCCCTGCATTGCAGAGAGATTCAAAAGAGAAAAAAAAGAAGATTGAGCAAAAAGATTACTTTCCCTCCTAACTGTACTCTTTGGCCAATTTCTCAGGAGAAAGAAAAAGTGTGGGAGGGCTTGACCCTCCTCTCAATCTTGGAACACAAATCCCGTGGATGAAACATGGGGGTCTCCTCCCTCGGCTCCTGTGCCCCCGGGGTCGAAGCAACAACCAGAAGTTCCAAACATAACGAACATCACAAACATTAAATTCTCACCTCCTGTGTTTTCTGAGGAATTAGTTCTCACTTTGTAAAAAAGGCTTTGATAGCTTTTGTTTTAAGTAGAAGCATCAACAATAGCAAAGAGAGATGAATTTATAAATTTGATGCCTGAAGCATTCTCACAGAACATGGTACCTGTGATGCTGAACCTGGGTTCCAGAGATGTCCCCTGGTGAAAACAAGACCCATACATATCACGGCATCACTGTTACTCGTGTCTACCATCCATAGAGCTGATTCCAACTTTCCAGAAGCAAGTTGCCTGGCTTTTCTTCCTCAAAGCCACTGGCGGATTCAAAACGACAACCATTCTGTTAGTGGGTGAGCGCTTAACCGAAGAGATACCAGGGCAACTTATTGTCCCTCCTAACACCCTGAAAAGAAATTGTAGGACAGAGCTTGGAGACAAGATTGCAGCTGCCCTGGATCAGTCATCCTGCTTTTGAATTTGGCCCAAAAGTGGGTCAAGTTCAACACTAGTAATTTCCAATGCACTATAAAAGGTCTGACCTGTCTATTGTAACTACGGATGGAAAGAAGGGGGTCCCACCTGCTGGAGATTCATCAGACACAGTTTCATATTCAATAAAACAAAAACTAGGTGAACTTGAACCAGGATCTGCCAAGCACAACCAACCAATTGTCCTTTGGCAAGTCCTCAGTTCCCTAAGATCAGATCCCATATATTTCCATTATGGTGGACATTGCAGGGGGAGGAGGGAGGGTGTCCTGATAGGCCCTGTTCAGCTAAGAACCATAAACCTTTCCTTTCAATTCCTTTTGACTGTTCAATACCACCGCTGACCCAGCTAGTTCTGAATGTTGCAAAACGTGTTCCTTTCTTTTTACATTTAAAGGAGAGTTTTAGGTAATGTCGGGGACCTTCCTTTTTTAAAAAAGAGGAAAACTCTTTATGGTCATCTGCGGTGACTTCTAAAAAGAAAAGGTTGAAGAGAGCTTCCTCATTTATGTCGATAATTTCGCCATTTTAGAGTTCTGTGGAAATTTCCAAATTACAGATATCAGAGGGCCTTTAGGTTTTTATAATGAATATCAGAGGATACAAATGAGAAATGTTCACATATATGAGTAGGGATCAAAAAAGTTCTTAGGGAAAAAAAATTCAAAAATCATGGAATTTTCGCCATAAACGGTTTTTTTTGTTTTGTTTTGTTTTTTTGAAGCTTTCTCCGGTCTCCATTTTCAGCTTGTTGGAAAGATACAGAGTAGCTCTTTGGATAGGGGATGCTGTGTGTGTGTGTGTGTGTGTGTGTGTGTGTGTGTGTGTGTGTGTG